CTCATTGGGAGGAAAACCTCCCGATGAGCTGGTCTTAAGCCCAGTTCATCGGGAGGCTTTCCTCCCGATGAGCTGGTCTTAAGCCCAGTTCATCGGGAGGCTTTCCTCCCGATGGGCTGGATTTTAAACCAGCTCATCGGGAGGGTTTCCTCCCGATGAGCTGCTATGAGCAGTCTTCGGGCTGGGAGGAACCCCCTCCCAGCCTTTTTTTTTTCTTCTTTTTGCTGGATTCCCCGCCGCCGTCCCATAGGAACCATGCCTGGGTCCTATGGGATGGCGGCAATCCTAAACGCATATGTACATATACATATGTGTTTAGGAATCCTTGGCGTGCAGGCCTGCACGCCAGTCTACACTCTGTAGATTGGCGTGCGGGCCTGCACGCCAATTTTCTTTGGCGTGCAGGCGTGCACGCCAATCCGCACCTGGCGTGTGGTTTGGCGTGCGCCAGGGGGGCTGGCGTGCGTTTATCAACGCCCTTGTAAATTGAAATGATTGTTTTCTCACACTAGTTGAAATACATAGATAGACTTGAAAGTCACAGTGGCATAGCTACCTTAGTGTGTAATTAAGCTTCACAGACCAAAAAATCCCAGAAATGTCATACACTGCAAAAATGTCTATTCTGATAGGGTCTGATGTGTTTCAAGGGAGCAAGATTTTTTGTTAAAATAGGATATTGGAGGTGGAGTTTTGGAAAACACTATGAAAAAAGACATTCAATTTCAAGATGAACAGGCATTTATTCATAGAAAAAGTATTTTGGTGTGTTGTGGGTTTTCCAAGAGACAGCATTCTTCCTTGGTTTTTTCTATCTTGTTCAGGAGTTGAGTTATCCACAAAATTGATTGATGATATGTTAAAAATGTGTTCTTACAGCAGGTCTTGTCCTGTCTGTCTGTCACTTGAGCTAATCTGTCACAAGATTCTGGGAGACTGGATGGTAGGAGGTCCTGATTCTCCTGGATGCTTAATGGTACCATTTTATTGAAAACTCAACTATTGAATGTAGAAATGGTTCTATGTAACATTCAGTTCAATTACAAATTGTTTTCATGGTGGTCACTCAGCCTCTTATGAAAACTAGGTTCTCATTTACCTCATTATTAGATTAATCTCACAGCTGAGGGCTGCTTGTGGCTCAGTTTTTTAAGGTTGATTGAGGGATTGTAGTTAACTGTGATGTCAGGTAGAATAGTGGTATGAGACTCACAAGTATTTAATGTGAACATCAAAATTGTTGTGCAAGTAAGTCTAATTCAAAAATGATGCATTTTGTACACATTCTTTTTATAATTATTTATGTATTTTTTAATTTTCTTTGAAGCAAGAAACCAAAGTCAAAATATATCAATCCCAATGACCATCCAAGATTGTGTTGATTCAAAGATTGGAAATTGATATCTTCATGAATTCTATAAGAACTGGTTTCCTTCTCCTGAATGATTTTCCAGGGTAAGAATATCTGGGATTTGAAGGGGGCCAGGAGGCCCATGGGAAGCTGGATTAGGCTGAAGATCATTACAGGAAACTCCTGTTCATGTGTCACCACACAAGACAATAGTTTCATAGAGAACTACCACACCAATCATAACATATGTGTATTTTTCTTTAGATTTTGTGTCTTCAATTTACCCACAGCTCTAGGAATGGAGTGGTTTGACCACTGTTCAGACCTTTATCTCACCTGTTCCTATTTTTTCTTTCTATCACACTTGCTGAAAAAGAACCAGCATTTGTAGTTGCTGTTATCTCTGGATCTAATTTCCATGTATTCCACTCTTCCTTGATTCCAATTCTGCTCAAAAACCACAAATTCAACTTCTGTAGTTAGTCCACTTAGTCTAGATCTGGATGATCAGAAACACAGTTTCAACTGTTTTTCACCTTTTAAGCTGTTTGTGTGAAGAAAAATATCCCTGTGACTGCCATCCATCTTTCCTGCAACTCTATTTTCTAATAATTTCAACAATTCATGCTGTGAAAGGGGGTATCCTTCATTATGGAGTAACACCATTCATATTTACTTGACAAACACAATACAATAGTAGGTTATTGAATGTCATAACTCCAGAGGGCAGTGTTGTGAATGTGAGCATGACATTGCAAGGCTTGTCATTTAAAATACAAATCAATACATTTCATGTAAAAAGCCTATTGTTTGAGAAGGATTAATGCTGTTTGTTTTCAACAATGCAATGATAAATAGATGTCTTAGTACATCTTTGTCATCATGATAGCATTAGTATGCTTTGTAAGTTTTTACTGGCCATAGGTGTGGTGTTGGACTTATGGTGGTGATAATAACACAACATGGTAGTACTTGAGGGATTACATCCACTTTCCTCAATCAAAACTTGACTTGAGATTTTTTCGGGAGACTGCATGTTTGCAGATGGGGCCTAACTCTGTCAGAGAGAAAAATTGATAGAATTTTTGTGTCCCTTAAATTAGACCACTTTCTTTTTCATCAAGTGGCCATTGGATATTGACTGTCAAAATATGATTGGAGGCTTTCTTCTGCTCCAAAATAGGAGCTCAAAATACTTGACCAAATACTTTCAAATAGGTTGAGGTGAAGTTTTGTAAAAACTGTCCTGATTCTGGTTGACCAGTAGGAATAATTCAGCAGTTCATGTCTGCTCTCTCAAGATTTCTCATCAGTTATCATATTTTCTCTAGTTTCATTCACTGAAGCAGATAACATCATCTCTCAAGCTGGAACTTAGCATATTTGACTGCTGTGATTAACCCAACAATCAATTAAAGGCATCTCTGAAAAAGAGTACCACTAAAATGATGAAGAGTGCCAAATGGACAGCCCTTCCATGGGGATTAGAGTACCGACAGGAGTGCAAAGTTGTTCACAGAATTACACATGGCGTATTATCGAAAGTCCTTTAAGAGAGTTTTCACTGCAATTGGCTAGAAATAGCTAGAAATACTTTTGCGGCGCCATTAAAGCAAGAAGACCGACGATGGATTTCACACGTTGTGGCGCCCAGCCTCTTTTTGGTTACTCGGCAAAAATTTTTAGGCCGCACCTTTTTCCTCTTTCCATACACGCTTCATCATTGTATAAGAGACTGCCCTCTTTTCGCGAGTTCAACCATCTCTTTTGTTGGGATTCCTAAGCGTTCAGTAGCCTCTTTAACACCAATACCACTCCTGACTCCATTTTGATCCACCCGGTCATGCGCGCCGGCAAAGACTCTACCCGCGGGATGATGACCATCCTTTTTATCGGGATGATCACCACCCTATCAATGAACCTCGCCAATGCTATGCTTTGTACTGAGGCATTCCAAACCAAGGAAGGGGGATGGGGTGCACCCCCGGGCAAAGCCGGTAAGCCATATAACCACATCTCCTTCCAAATTCTCATCCTCGTCTTGACCGTTGACAAAGTCTCACATATCACCATTAGCATGCCTCAGTGGTTCTGCATCCCGCTTGTGTAACTTGTCGACCTGCTACGGATCATCACCGAATGGTCCACTTGATGGTTAGCGGAAAGCTCCAGCAATGGTCAACGCCTAAACGTGTTTTAGCTGATCCTCGTGTTTTTATAGTGAGTCAATCGGTTTTCACCGGATGCAGCATATCGGATGACGGCAAGGACGGGACCCTCAGTGTCTATGTAATCAGTTATGGAATGAACAGCGGGAAATTTTGTACGTAGCAGCCAGTACGGATCATTGTGAATATGAGCTTTGAACACTCATTCAAGATTTTTTTCACCGGATCCTTACAGCTGTTACCGGTAAAACTTTCCCTGGCCGCGATAAGGACATTGAAGTATTCTGCACAAATAACAAACAAAACAGAGACCACCTGATCTGTGAGTATCATCTGAATTATGCTAAGTACAGTAAGCATTTGTTTTTTTAATAAGTGGCTTTCCCCCGCGCGCGATCAGTTTGCAATGACAACGCTTGCCATTGATTACCAAAGAGTACGTGAGCCATCCTTCATCCGGCATGCGTGACTGGTAGACAACAAACCACTCAATTTTTTTTGTTCTTCTTCTTTGTTCTTGTTTCAAACTCTTCAGTCAAAAACAAAAACACTGCAACTAAAAAAAAAGCTAAAGTTGAACGTTGCGCACAAATCTAGTATCAACTTTCTGCATGATTTTTTCCTTTTTTGTGTGTACGCGTTTTCAGCAATTAGTGCATTTGGGAGGACCGTGTCTTAAGTACAGGGCCTCTTTCGAAGCAGCCTGTTGCCTGCCCAACCCTTTAAAAACCTGCGTCCCGTTCCCGGTGAAAGAATTCAAGCAACTAGAAGATTTATTTGCATTAGACTAGGTACATGTATGTGAGAAATGATTTAGCAAGTATGGTTCTTTATTTACCTAGAAGCAAGCAAGACTCTGGTCTAGTTTCTTAGGGAGAGGCTTTGATGAGATGAGGGAGTTATAAGACGAGAAGATAGTGAGAAAGAGATAAGAAATGATTTTGGTTTGATGATCAATTTCCTTTTTTCTTTTTTTTTTTTTGTATTTTATTGAGCTGGTTTTTTTTGTTTTAGTTCTGTTAAGTAGTGATCTTAAGTCAGTCTTGGCTGCTTCTCTGGCTATGTCTGATACCTGCTTGTCTTACCTTTGTTCTGTTTAAGGGAAAGGTCTTCGTTCTGGTTGTTTGGTGCTTCGGTCACAGCTAGGTTGTCTGGGGGATGTTTCTGGTATTAGTTACTTATTCTGTTACACTATGCTTGCTCTATTACTCACCAATGAGTTCACTTGGTGGAATCTGCTTAAGCGAGGCTACTGTGATGGGTGATGTTAAGCAATTGAGCAAGCTGCTATTTAAGATAGACAAGAGTCAGCCTGCAAGCTAGCTTATGCTTCAGCTTTTCTGAGTTTATCGACTGCGAGCTCACCTCCTGTTTGTGCTGGTGCAGACATCAGGTTCTTTTGTGCTAGTGTATTTCTTATAGTCTGTAGATTACATCAAAGTTAGCATCTTGTACTCCTAGATGATCTGTCACATGAGTTAGTGATGGTTGCTTACCAATCGCTACTGCATGGTCTGTTCTAGGCCTTTTTAGGGCCGAATTGCTGTCTATTGCGTCTGGATTCCAACACCCAGCAGAGCTCCAAGTGCATCAACCCCTGATAATCCGCTTGAAAGACTATCAGACCTTTGACATGAGTCCAAAGGCACAGAATTTGTGAAGGACAAGAAAGGTGCAAGTTCTTTTATGTGAACTGACGAGGTGTCAGAGAATGACCACCATGAAAACCAGAGTGAGCAGAAAAGCAACAAACCTGAACATCCGCGACAAGTGATTTGTACACAGAGGGACGGATTGAAGAAGTCCCGACCGCCGTGCCAGCTCCCCGGCCGGCAGGGCGACCACATGATGCACCAGGGCGCCGGCGGGACTGAGAGTTGTAACGGCGACCCAAGGGAGGTCAGGGCAACACTGTGGGTCGTCATGTTGCCACGGAGGCGTGATCATGTCGACCCAGGAGATGCACGTCCCCGTGGCAATTGGGGGGGTCAACTTGGTGTCGACATGGCCGCCGGGTCGTGATCCGTGTGCCATGGCAATGACACCAACTGAGGCTTCAGGGACGGCTGTTGGTTGGGGTGGCGTCATCCTTGCGACCCGGGTCCAAGGGCAATCGTCCGGTTTTTCCCCTCTTGAATACCATCGGGAAGGATGGTTTTCACGTGGGACTTGCAAAAAACCTACCATTTTTTTTGGAGCAAAATATTGAACTACAACCAACTCCGGGTAACCTAAGGGCACAATGCTGCGGACTCAATGATAGACAAGGTTGAATTCTGAAACCTAAACCTAATAGTAGAATCCATTACAACTTAGTCTTTCCTTTCGGTTGTAATCTTCATTCTCTTCTGTTTATGTTTCTCATTTGTCATCAATTCAACTCATTCACATTCGTCTCATCTCCATCGCCCACAGGTATGCCTAGGCTGTATTTCATCTTATTTTCACTTCTTCCGTTTCTTCCTGCATTCTTTGACTCATCATTCATTTCTTCATCATTTCTTTCAGGTGTGCTCAACTTCGTCTATCATAGACTCATCCACTCGCGTGTACTCACAACTCTACGTTGTTCCTAAGGTTCGCTTCATTGTTCTTCATTCTCTTCTATTTATGTTTCTCATTCATCATCAATTCAACTCATTCACATTTGTCTCATCTCCATCGCGCACAGGTGTGCTCAACTTCGTCTATCATAGACTCATCCACTCGTGTGTACTCACAACTCTACGTTGTTCCTAAGGTGTGCTCAACTTTGTCTATCATAGACTCATCCACTTGCGCGTACTCACAACTCTACGTTGTTCCTAAGGTGTCTCTTGGCTGCTCGTCTATTACAAACGTCTCTGAAGGGGGGAAAGAAAGGGATAGGACTTTGTAAATCCCTTTCTCTGACAAGTTGCACTGGTGGTCTGGTTAAGTTGACCATTCCGCCAGTGGGAAGCAATGTATATACCAGTTCAATACAAGCTCAAACCTCGTCTGAAGCATTCTTTTTAAGTGCCACCCAGCCTGATTTGACTCGGTGGCACTGAACTGGCGCCTGGGCATCCTCTTGGCTACATCCCGCCCTTGCCATCAGGACAATACATCCCGGCGTCATGAGAGGCTCTGCCCATCTAATTCTAATTTCCACAGGGCGACCCTGGACTGCTGGGCTGTTAGGGTGCCGGCTGCATTGCCACACTGGCAACCAACTAGTCCCGGTGTGTAGGAATAGAGCCAGTTGGCAATGTGAGACAAGTAGAATGTATGAAACCTGAATGAACAAAAGCAAAATTAACAGTTTAGGTACAGTTGCGGATGGCATAGACCAACCATGCCCCGCCCGCAAAATCCAAAATGGACACGTGGGGCCTATGCCTAAATACTTATTTTTATTACATTTTTGAACTCCTACAGATGTGTAGAGTTCAAAATTGTAACCGCTAACAGCGGTGAGCCCCTACACTTTTGGCCCAAAAAGCGTAGTGTAGCGGCGCTTTTTTTGCACCAATTTTTTGTAGTGTTAGCGCGCTGTTAGCACCACTATGCTGCGCTACAGCACTTTTAGCGGCAAAAACGGCCCAAAAACCGCTAAAAACCGCTGTAGCGCAGCGTAGTGGGCCCTTTTTAAGGGCCTGCACACATAGCATTAGTGTGGACGTGGCGGAATTCCGCTACGCTACGCTCAAGTTGCGTGGAATTCCGCTACGTTACGCTGTGCTAACCACTACGGTTAGCTCAGCTGGCCCAGCGTTGCCGCTAAGGTTCTACTCAAGTGGTTCTTTTTTTTATTTGTATGGCAAGCATGTATTTGGACATGCCTACCAAAAGCCATACTTAAACCCATAACTATGGGTTTAAGTTAGGCTTATTCATGGCCTTATGCCTCTCAAAGCACCTGTAGCACCTATTTTGAGTGGTTATGCAACACTCTGAGGTGATATTTCAAAGTTATGTACTAGGCTCAAAAGGGCTAAAAACCCTGTAAATACAAAAAAATCTATTTTTTTGCTCAAAACTTCAGACACCCTCAAAATCCAGGGTTGGTTTTTGCCATCCGCAACTGTATCCCCTTATATAATGGAAATAGGATGGATCCAACGCATGTCCAAAGACTTGATTAATGACAAATTACCTCATTTAAACCCCACAGCCAGGGATCTTGGCCTTCCCTTCCAGTCTCCTTTCATTTTCAGGCCACAGTCTCTCTGTGTAGTTCCGTCCCAGGCTAATCGGCCTCGCTCCGAGAAGCCATTGTGGTCTCTATTACTCCACTCTCTTCTTGTCTCTCTCTTCTGTTCCTCATCATCTTCCAGTCTCATTCCTCCTCACTCATCCAAAACATATGTATTTTTTTTTCTAGCTGTGTTTTTTGCTTCCTGAAATTGCATTTGGCTTTGATCTCTCCCCTTTCAATCGATTTGGTTTGAGTCAGCCAATCGAAGCGGGCAGGGATCTGATTGATTAGGAGGCTCGAGATGAGTGGCGGGTGATGTGGGGCTGAAATGGTTGAACATGATGATGTGGTAGAAATTATGTAGTGTCTTAAAACAGCAACTGAAATATGTATTCTCTTTTTGTTCCTATAACGCTGGAATCATGTACCAAATATCTTCCTCCCCCCACGAGACTGATCACAAGCCATCAAGGCATTTCAGACAGTTCACCAAGCAGTCATCCATCTTTATTGCCCCCAAAATTCAGATTGGTTCTTAGAAGTTACCCTTGAGCTCAGTCAACGGGGATGTTTCTTTTAATTTATCCTTGGGAGACTACATTCTTCTTATCAAGAAAACCCCTATTTTTTGTTGGGAGGATATTGGTGTTCAGCGGTAAATGATTGTGGCCCTCATCTTTTGATGATAAGGATCACAACCCATGAGTTTACCCCTATATTCAAAGAGACCATTCTCCCTTCTGTAGTCTCCTCACCCATAATTATTCATACAAAGTTTTTTTTTTTTGGAATTCTCAGCTAAATTTGTAAATTTGGGGAGTAATTAGTATTAATTTAGGGGCTTGGCTAATCGACTCCCAAAAGTTGGAGAGTCGACTCCCAAACCCCCAAAACCCCCAAATTTGGGAGTCGGATCTCCAGTAAATTTAAGTAAAAAAAATTGAAACCCCCGAAGGGGGAGGGAGTCGATTCCCCAAAACCCACTGGGTTTTGGGGGTCATCAAACCAAAAAACAGCCGCCAACGGTGTAAGACTCAAAAAGTGATTGTAAGATCCTTTTTGCTGAATGGAGAAAGGGATGAAATGAGCTGCAAACTCTGCCTTTCTATATTATCAGAAAACAAGACCACCAAGGTAAGCTTGGCAGTTTGGTTGGTGATAATGGATTATGTTCAAAGATGGTTGTGTAATTGTTGAAGGTTGATCTTGTTGTCCAAAGAATTTATTGAGTTGTTGATGTTGTTTCTCGTGTTGATGTCTTGATACTCGTGCTCTTCCTTGATGCTTGTATATGTATAATGTAATAGAGGTGGTTCTTGAACCCAAAGGGTCTGGGAGCACTATGCTTCAACCAGGACTGGAACAAAGGACTGGCTCTTCTGTGTAATGTTTGTGAAATGAACTGTGTATATATTTCAATCTGTGAACTGCACTACTCGTGAACTTCTTGTGTAATAAATATGTGTAATATGTGACAGGTGTCCCACCAAAAAATGTGTACTGAGTGGGATGAGGAGGGAAACAACTGGCAGGCAGAGGCCTCCTTATATAGTAAATTATGAGGGATTTTAGCCCCAAGGGACCCCCTGTATGAGGCATTTTAGCTGCCCTATCCTTGAAAATCCTGAGGGATTTTGGCTAGACTATCTACAACACATTCCTTTTATATGTAAGCTGTAAGAAAGGAATTCATGTGTTCTGTGGCTGAATAAATGGGAATTTAACTGGTACAACTGGTGGCCAACTTGTGGTTCTGTAAGTATAAAAGGAATTCAATATGGATAAAAGGAATTCAATATGCAATATGCAATATACCCCCATGCAATATACCCTCCAGCTGAGTGCCTCTGATCCTGTGATTCCCCGTGTGACATCCTTGATTCTGTGTAACTTCTGATCCAGTAGAGATATGAAGGTGGTTCCAGTGAGTGACTAGGGGTTAAATTGGCCGTAGATTCCATTTCTGACATCCATTTGTCCATATTGTGAGTCCTTCATTGATAAATAATAAAATTTTGAATTTTTCTTCCTTCATACACAGGAATAATGACCACATCCTCCCCCAACTTATTGACTGTCCCCAGTCAATTCTGATTTTATGACTGTGTTTGAAGGCTAAACCTTGTGTATTTTATATGGTAGAATCTCAATTTAGATGTTGTAATAATAATAATAAACTTTGATAATTTTTTTTATGTTTATTTTATTTTTCCAAAATTCCCTGGTTATGTTTGGTTGAGACTGGGAATTGAACAGAGGAGCCTTCTTATTTCTCAGAATATTACTCCTTGTGTGAGAATTGAACCCAGATTTATTGTGTATAATTTTTGATCAAGGGTGGGAGTGGAACCCATGTCCTTGGTGTTGAATTAAATGGAGTTGGGTTTTGCCTAGTTGGGGACTGGAACTGGGGTCCGGTTGGTTGACTCCATTTTTGAAGTTTTTTGATTTACTTGGTGTCCGGACGCCGTTCACAGATCCTTTCACAGGTCTGCTCTCCAAATGCTGCGCGCCGTAGGCCTAACATCGCGCCATTCCGCCTTGCTCCGTCCCGGAGTCCTTTCACTGGCCTTTCACAACCTCAAGATATCCTCCAGGATATCCACTCCGGCCCGGTAGCGTATCCTCCAAACTGTACCCCTATCTCTTCTACTCCCCCCTCTCGGCCATCCACCCGACTATCCGCCACTAAACCGGCCTTCTTAACGATCTTCCCAAACCCGCCGACTAGTCTATTACGGGAATCTTGTTAGGTAAGTCTTTCCCTCACCTTTCCGCCTTGTCTTTAGTGTTGTAGCCTCAGATATCCGACTTGACGCGAGGAACCCGCCATCCCAGATATGTACTAGCTCGAGCCGGCCCGGTATCTACCTCCTATCCTCCTATCAACCGCCTCTCGATCATCCACCCGGCTATCAGCCTCTTGATTGACAATCTCCCCGGCGATCTCCTCGACGATCTTCATGGCGATGGGAATCCTCGAATTAGTAGGTTTTCTAGATCTCTTCCTTGCTCTGCTCTTGTTTTACCCCGCTAACGATACGGATTTTTATCCCCACAAATTTTCTCCCAGACTGGCCGCGCAGTCATTCCACATCCACTGTCCTGGCCTTCTCGTCGATCTGCAGTATTTGTAGCTTAAATCCTCCAGTTATCGACCCCACCGTTTTACGTTTGCGCCACTGTTCTCCTTCCAGCTCTCTGGCGACCGACCCACGCCTCTATCGATTGTCTCTTTTAGTTATCCACCTCTAAACCCGTCTTCTCAACAACCTTCTCGCCCTCGCCGGCCCCGACCCGGTAGTGTACTTTCCTCTAGCCCTAGCCTCGTGAACATTCGGCCGTCCGATTTTCCGCCTTGTCTTCCCAGTCCGGTCCTTACAGCTTCGTCAGGCTTTGACCACGATCCGCCTCGACTTGCCGGTCCGGTAGCGTATCTTCAAAACGATCTTCACGGCTAGCAGCAGCCACCCCAACTTCCTCAAAGCATCTTCTCCTTCCTTTCCTGGCCGATTCCTGCCTTCTATACTATCCCCTTCCTTTTACCGACGCCTCCTTTGCTTCTCCCTTGATTCACATCCGGACTCCACTATCTCTGCTGACTGACCCTGGCGACTTGCGGCTTGTTCTTTCATATCCTTATTCGTGTATTGGCCATCAAAGGTAACACATTTGGTCCTCCTTTGCTATGCTTACCCTTTTCTATTCTAAGGGGGGTCAATGGGGTCCCCCTTTTCGAAGAGGACTTCGCCGCAACTTCCTCGCTTTCCAGCCTCCAGTATATAAAGGCTGTCTCGATTCGTCTTCCTCAACTTCTTCCCCAGTTCGACATCCAACCGCGACATCCCTCCCATCCTACTTTGAAACCAACTTGAAAAAACCTTTACTATCGATCCCTTTTAACATCATGGTTACTACCCGCAGCTCAAAAGCTCAGGCCCTAAATGAGACTCCAGCACTTCCACCGCCGGTAGGTTTCCCTTCTTTTCCGTAGGTTTTAAGGCTTTGATTTGTCGATGACTGACTCGCTTCCTCCCTTCTCATCTGTTCAGTCTGGAAATAGCGCCCCAGTTGTTCGTTCGGTAAGTCTTTTTCCTTTGCTCTTGCCCTTACTGGTCCTTGCTCTATTACTGATGTGTTTTGCTGGTGTCCCAGGGTTTTCAGGCCATCTGCTCAGCCTCCTTGGCCTCTCCCACGGAGCTTCATGCCAACAAGTACATGATTTCCGGCCCGGTACGACCTTTCACTCCGGTGAACTCGCCAAAAGAAAAAATTCCCGTCCCGGTACGTTTTCCTGCTTCTTCCTCAACCGCCTCTCTTTCCTTTCGCTGATATATCCATTTGATCTTCCTCAGATCCATCCTTCAACCGTAGCTCCGGGATCAAGTCGTGTCGGCCAACATGTCGACCCCAATTTAGTAAGTTGCAACCTTTATTATTCCTGACTCATATATGTAGTGATACTAATTCTGATCCTATTTATTTGCTTCTTTGTTTCTTTTAGGTTCAAGAAGGTATTAACTTCTATCCCCTCCAAAGCCGTTGGTCCCCGGCTTTCACCCCATCGGTTGGAAACTTCCCTCCCGGGCTTAGAAGCCCAGAATTTGTCAATCCTAGCTCCACCGACGGAAGCTCCGACTCTGAGTCTGGATCTTCCCATTCCTCGGTTTCTGACGGGTTCAGCTCGGGATCCGAGTCTAACTCCAGCGTCCCGGCTTCTGCTCCTCCTTCCATTCCAAACTCATCCGCGTTCCCTTCGCCTTCTTCTTCGGATCTCCGATCGGTTCCGCCCTCAGAAATATTCTACGCCACTCGACCAAGACCACAACCTGTCGCCACGGGGTCTGGCAATTCCTACGATGACCCTATGGTCGTCGACGACGATTCCGCCTCTGATTCTCGTCCAGATTCCATTCCCTTTGGTCCTACCACTGACTGGGGGTCGACTCAACAGGCTGCTCCTCCGGCCAACACTGTCAATCCCGATCCATCCGCTCGAGAGATGATGGCGTTCGACTACCGCGCCATCCGGGAGCAACTAGTCGGCTCCAATCCACTACCGTTCGGTACACAAGTATATCGAGAGGAAGACCTTCTCTTCCTATTTCAGAATGTCGCCAACAATTTCATACACTTGTCCAATAAGTACCCCGCCTCGACTCTCGGCGAAATCGAGGATCGTGTTCAATTCTATCAGAACCTGCAATGGGTTTTCACCGCTGACCGTCAGGTTTTCCTGGCCACCCACTGCGGCTATCCCTAGGCAAGTAATCTCTTCTTTCATCCTCCTTCTTTAACAATCCTTCTCCATCATGCTGACTACCTAAAACTCTTTTTAGCTTTTCCCTTTTATGGATATTCTCCCACTACTGGCTATAAGTGCCTCCTCTTTTCTTCTTCTAAAATAAAAAAAACTTTTAAAGAAAAGAAAAAATTGAAAAATAAAAAGAACAAAAAAACTTTTTAACTGTACTACTATCCAACCTCTTGTATATAGTTTTGATCATATAACTGGCTGACTTTTTGTGAGTTCATGCCCACCCCATTGGTGCCTTCTTGACCTCCTGGGACTCTGAGATCTTTTGAGAAGAAATAAAAAATATTTTGTACATAAAAAAACTCTTTTTTATGAATCCTTTGAGTTTTGATTAAGAATCAAAACTTCCTGAATTTTAAGTGAGTCAAAAAAAGTTTTTAAAATTCCTGACCAAATCACAGAAAGAAAAGGAAAAAAGAAAAGAACCCCCTCCCCCAACTTATATGGTTGTCCTCAACCATTCTTCAGGGAAGAAAACATAAAAAAACTTCATTCAAGATTGAGTTCATAAGAGATGAATCTCCTCCCCCAACTTATCAAAAATGAGTATGAAACTGATATGTTTTTGGTATTTAATGAGT